AAGCATTTCTTTTTTTCAAATGCCTTTATAGAGTTCTTTTACTAATGACAAATCTATGGTTCACTTGATATGTTACAAAACATAATACCTTCTCCTAATGTTCTCAATCTCCTCCTCTCTGATTGCTTTGTACCTTATTCCAGGGCATGTTTCATCGCTCAGTTGTCGTTTCTAGGCTTTTTTTTCTGTCACTTAACTATTTCTCTTTTGGTTCGTCGTCTCTCTTTCTTTCTTGGGGCTTCGGGAAGAGCTAGTCGTCATTATTGGAGTCCGCATTTCAAAGATTTACTGCTGAAGTTTGATTGAATAATTTCCACGCAACTGAAAAAGAGAATCATTATCAAACCGTTGGAGTATGTCAAAGTTCTTACCTGAACAAGTGCTATGTGCTATGGAATCTTAAAATTATCCACTTAGCAATGTTTCGCTTGCAAAATCTTTTATCTCTTTCTTTCGCTTTTTTTCTCTTCAAATTCATTCAAATGAAAGCGAGCGCAGGGTAATTGGCTGATTATCTGATTGATGACGAAATGCGCGCTCTCGTATCCAGTATCTCACGTCTCTTTATTGGATATATGGGAAGACTGATTCGTACAAACAAGGCTTTTTCCCATTTTCGGCTGCATTTATGCTTCTTCTAACTTTCTTGTTTTCTCACGATTTCTATTTCAAATTTGTATTTTAGCAGCAAATTTCCAATGTTTTTCTTTGAAGCACAAGATTTGAAGCACAAGATTTGATATTTTATATTTAAGGTTGGTGCCTACTATTGTCAACGCGCACACTTACTGCGCATGTACGTCGAAGGATTTCCGCGGGTTTCAAAAGCAAAACAACCGAAGGTACAGAAAAAGTCGTTTTGGGACAAATTTAATGGCAAAAACAATAGCAATAACTATATTTTTATGCAGGCAATTTTGGATTAAGAAGCAATCTTCAAAAATTCAGGTGTTTTTGGTTCACAATCAAATATCCTAAGTTTTTAGAAAAGCATGGTTTTGATCGCCTCGGATTGGTGAACTTTTTTCAATATTTTCAAACAGATATCCTAGCTTTATTTTAAAGATAAATGGAAATTGAATACACGTTTACAGCAACCATGGCCAATTACTGACAAAGAAAATTATTATTTTGTTTTATTAAATCTGTCTCTTGTTCTCGGTGAAGTTGAACATTTTTCGTAAACTTTATGCCTAGAGTTTTGTTTTGCACGCTGACGTGAAACATTCATGAAAGACGTCCACTTTATTCAACTTCAAAAAAAATACTTTTCACATAACATTTGTTTAATGAAATCCCTTTCTCTGCACAATAAATACTCATTAATTATTGTTCTTCGAATTGGATAAGTTTTCTGATACTTTGAACGCTTGAAATAACGATTTTTCTTTAGTTTTTACCCTGCTTGTAAAAAATAAGGAAGGCTGGAAGAAGGGGAAAAACGACTGGTCATGAGCTGGTCACGCTGTTTCGTAACGCCGCGTCACGCTTGTCGCGCTTTTAGTACCCGATCTAACCTCAATAAAATATTCAAAAAAATAACTTTTTAAATCGCACGAGTACCCCCTTTATTCCTTCGTGCATTATGTAATATATATATTTAGGCACTGCCTAAAAGCGGAGCTCCCGATACGAAATTAGGGAGCCAGGGAGCCCAATTTGAATGAATCTGAAAGGTAAAAATAAGATCGGGAAAAAAATCTTCAATTATTTTTATTCGAGATGAAGATAATGTATCCCATAATAAAAACCATGCAGTGAATTCGAATCAAAATGCACTACCATTGCTTTTTATGCGCGATTATACCATCCCACTTAGGAATTTGGAACACAACTCACCACCAGCAACCCCACGGGCTATTTTTGTTCTTTGAAGATTCTTCGACAAAGTTTTCCATGGCCGACATTTTTAAGCTTTGAATTCCTGTTTAATTTTACTTTAAAAAACGAAAGATAACTACAGACAATCCAACAAAATATCAGGTTTAGTGAAATTTAGCTTGGATGTCTTTCATTGAAATCGAAATTTTGGAGATTCCCGATTCTTTTAGGACAAATCAGGACTATAAAACAGACTTGAAAACTGGTTAAGGTGAGAAAAAACTAAAGCTTACTTGCGTCTTTCACATAACGATGTTTGGAAAACTATAAGAATTTTGATGTTTTTATAAATGTATTTTTACCGCAATGAAAATAAAAAACAAACAAACAAATGCTTTGGTAGAATCAGAGAGAAAATTGCCTGGAGATCATCAACTAACTAAACTTGAGAAATGAAGGTCCTGAACATTTAAAACCAAATGGGTCATCAGTTCAAAGGAAAACGTTTTCTTAATTACTTCATTGAAATAATTTTATTCCTTTCATATGAGAATTAACTACTTTTCGAGAAGCTTGAAAACTAAGCTTACTAAATTTTGAGATTCGATTTTACCAGTTTTCATGTCTGTTTTCATGTGTGAGAAAGATACGAAAATCACGAACGACAAAAGTTTTCGAAAAGCAAAGTTTACATTGAGTATTAAACTTGACACGAACAACTGAGACAAAATAGAAAATAATGCAAAA